GTGTGTTCACTCATCATAGCCATGACCTTGGATGTGCTATGTGGACGGTTGTAGACTCCCCTACATTGCGCTGTCACAAGCCTCTGACCGATTCCTTTAACTGTCCATGTTGGTTCCCGATTTCTTAGTTACTTGAGTGTCCTTTATTGAAAGTTTTGCTAAAGGGGAATTTTTTTTTCTTTACTGAATCCCATTTTGTAATTTTAATTGTGAAACCTAAACCAAACTGTCTTAAATTGATAAGTTCTGAAGTATAATAACAACAGTCTGGGAGTAGAGAATTAAGCAAAACAAAAACAAAACTAAAAGCGACAACAACAAAACCTATCTCAGGAAAATAGATACTTGCTTCTCTCTGGCTAAGGTTATGCCATTGGTCTAAGTCTTTGTCTCCCTAGGAGTACCCGGTGCCACTATAAGATTTGGCATGGTTTTTCTGGGCCTCCTTGGGAGATGATGTCAGTCTTCCAACTGCTGCTTTCTCAAGTCTCTTCATACACAACTGTGAGGGACCCGCAGGCTTTGATCTTTAAACAGCCACCTGTTGTGTCCTTTGCCTAATCACTTGTTTTTTTCCTTGAACAGTTTGCTGATGGTTGTCAAGCTTGGAATTAGCATGTTGAGTTCTCCCCAGCCATAGTAGCCAAACCCCTGCTTGGGCTCACGAAGAATTGAAATTCTCCAAACTTCCACATTTACAGTGTCTGAAGAAAAAAGTGCAGCACATTTCCATATTCTGACATTTTAAAAATGTACACTGAGCACGATGAGGTAACAATGAGCTTTTTACTGTTGCAACTGTTCAGGGTAGCGAGTGTCTAACCTAAAAGCAGATGCTGCTTTCATGCAGTTTTATTCTTGTGTGATAACATCTCTCCTTTCTGTACTAGAGGACAAGGGGTAAAATGTTGGGTGTCAACCCTGGGGGCCTCAGAGCCCCATGTTCTGCCCAGAAGTATGTGAAATCTCTTGGTGACTTTTGTGATGTGGGATCTTTTGCATAGGTCTGCTATGAAATTATGTTACAATGAAATACCCGTGGAAATAAAGTTTACTATTAAGAACATTTCTTTGGTATGGCCTTTGTCAGAGTGTCTGGGATGTAGCCTGAGGTGTGGATAGCAGGACAGTGCAGAGGTGTTAGGGGATCCCGTGAACATCATACTTAGGGATTTCCCATTTGGAATGACTAAGGAAGGTTGTTTGTCTGTACATTGCCTGGAAGGTTGTTTTAAAAATGATTTGTGAGCTGCTGGTGGTGGTGTTGCACACCGTCAATCCCAGTGCTTGGGAGGCAGAGGCATTTGAGTTCAAGGCCAGCCTGGTCTATAAATCAAGTTTCAGGACAGCCAGAGCTGTTACACAGAGAAACCTTGTGTTGAAAAACCAAAAACCCAAAAACACACCAAAGGGGAGGCAGGGAGAAAGAAAAAAAGATTTGTGAACTACCTGGATGTAGTGGGACCTGGCTATAATCCTAGCACCTTGGATACAGAAGCAGGGTGACCAGTTCAGGGTCATAGTTTTGTAAGTTTGAAGCTAACCTGTGCTACATGAAACCCTGCCTCAAATAAATAAATAAACCCCTAAAACCAAAAATTTCTAAGATAGGACTGCAATAGAAACAGGGACTTAAGTTCACATCTGGGTTTAAGTGTAGGCTTAGTCCCTTTGTAGCCTGAGCTACCCACCTCTGCTCACTACTGTGCCTCTACCTTCCAAGTGCGAGGATTAAGAGATGTGTCTCCCATCCATCTCATCCTTCAATATGGTTTTGGATATCTGGACCATGTTTATAACAGGATATGTCTTATTAAAAATTGTTTGGTTTTTCAAGTCAGGGTTTCTCTATAGCTTTGGAACCTGTCCTGGAACTTGATCTGTAGACCAGGCTGGCCTCTAACTCACAGAGATCCACCTGCCTCTGCCTCCTGAGTGCTGGAATTAAAGGTTTGTGTGCCACCACACCTGGCCAGATAGAATATGTCTTGACATGCACATCTTTTTTTTTTTTTTTTTAAAGGCAGGATCTTTCTATATGCCCCAGCATGGCCTTGAACTCGCACTTCTTCATTTTCCTGAGTGCTGGTGTTACAGGATTTAGCATTCTTGAGTTATAATGCCCAGAACTTTGTGCAACTGATCAGGGTACTATATTGTGGACTGCATATTTCTGTTTTGTCATCTGAGACCCCAGGTCTTTTTTTGTGTCCTGCTGGAGAGTGACTGCTATGGTGAAAGTACGGGTGTCTAATGATGCTGTCTTGCAAATACTTTAGATCTGCAATGATTTTATAGCTCCTCGTCCGTAGTGCTTGCCATCCACATGTAATCATACCAAATCCATGGCATAAATAATAATAATAAAAAAACCCTCAACTATTCATAGTTGAGTGGTGTGTAGTGTGGGTCCATTCTCTGAAGATTCAGATTTAAGTAGTTTACTTATTTTGAGTGTGGTTATGCCATGTTGCCCAGGCTGGCTGTGTTCAGTTAAGCTCAAGTAATCCTGCCTCAGCCTCCCAAGTACCTGGGATTACAGGTGTGTGCCAAGGATCCCAGCTTGAATATTGTTTGTGGCGCTGAGGAGTGAATGTAGGGCCATGCATACACTAGGCAGATCTTAGCAATACAACCACACTATTTGTTTGCTCCATTTCACTGTGCTGCTTTGATCTTGTTCAGCAGTGCTGAGCATCAGACCGGGAGCCTCGTACATGTTAGGCAAGCATTCTACCACCTCCACCACCCAAACTAGAGTCTCAAAACAGTGGGGCTGCTGGAGTTTGGATCACTACCTCCAGAACAGTGAGTCAAAATATGTCCCTTCTGTGTTGGGCTTGGAAAGAAACAAGATAGGAAAGACATTGTTTTCATGATTTTTTTGGCACTGGTCTTGAATCCGGAGCTTCGTTTCCTGCCCTGCAGGAACTCTATCACTGAGCTAAACCCCAGAGTTTCGTGAATGCCAGGTTTTTACTGATTTTGACGTAGGGTCTTGCTATGCTTTGAATTTGTCTTATGGCCCAGACAGGACTTGAACTTGCAATTCCCCTGCCCAGATATGGAATCAATGAAGATGCCCTTTAGTACGTGACAACAAAATTTGATTCAGGGACACTTGCACACATATTTACTGCTGCTATACTTAGGAGAGCACGGAAACAAAACCAGCTTAGATAACCTCTAACAGATGAATGGATAATGAAAATACGCTGCATATATGAAAAACTGAGCTATAACAAAAAATAAAATGAAATTTTTAGGGAAAAGGATGGATCTAGAAAGTAGAGTATCAAGCAAGGTGGCCCAAACACAGACTAACACTGTTCTTCCTCCGATGTGGCTCCTAATCTATAATGTGTACATGTATGTATGCAAAAAGTATAGGGTTGGTGAAGTCTACAGACCTAGAAAGAGACCACCCGAAGGTACTGTTAGGTGATGAAGAAGAGTGGGAGTGGGCAGAAGGACAGACACATGGGATATGACAAGGAAAGGGGAGGAAGAGCAGACGGGGCGGACTGATGGGAAAAGGAGAGCCAAACACATCCTTCAAGAATGTCATAAAGATACTAAGCATCTTATGTGCTAATTAGAAAAGTAGCCACAACAAAACAGACCACAGAATACAGTTTAATAATAGAAAAACACACTAGTTTACCCTATATGTATTCAGGGTTCATGTTTCTCAGAAACACCAAGGAATTTTTATTAGCTTTGAGACAATAAAATTGTACAAATACACAGAACCATTAGGATTAGGATAAATTACTATTTCAAGTTTAACATTTTAAACATGTAAAATATGAACAGCTAGGTCTTCTATACAAAAATATATGATTTGATAATGTGCCTCTGGGCAATGCCCACAAAATGATGTCAGTTATATCAGCATCTGTTACATAGCCATAAATACATAAAAATATCAGCAGGCAATAACATTATTCTTTCAAAAGAATATACAGTACTAATCATGTCCAGCCCAGCAAGTGGCAGGTTTAAAGTAGTCCTAACTTCAAAATATCTATAAAAAGTTTTAGTAATAAAACTAAGAAGAACAATGAACTACATGAAACCCTGCCGTGGCAGCTGAGCATGTTTGCCCTGTGGCTGGAGCATGAGGTCAGAACCTAGTTAGTGACCTGCAGCAGCAAGAGTTTGCCTGCCTGGGGACCAGCTGGCACACTTGACCTTTGTGTCTGGTAGGAACACAGAAGAGTTGGAGAGTGCAATGAACAGGCATCAGATGACAGTTTCCAGAACATTCTTAATGACAAGATGACAAGAACCCTAGTGTGATTAATGTAGAACTTACCCAGCTACAGAGTCTGATGGTCATCGTGAGTTCAGTTTGGTCAAGGTCCGACAACAGTGCTAGAATCAGACTGGCACACTCTGCTAATCCCAGAGGCTGGAGAGAGGTTTATTTCCTGCTAAGATAAGCTGCTAAGGTGTGCCCCATCACTCATCTCATAGTTCCAAATGTAGAAAGCCAAAAGATAAGGTGAGGGAGCAGAGCCTCAGCCAAGTCCGCCCAGGGGCCTGCCTCACACTATGAAACGTGAGCAGAGGCAAACTGCTCAGGCCGGTTGGTCTTTGCAGTGACCAGAACTGCAACAGTTTAGGCTAATTAGACAGCAAGTAAGAGCGAAAACCCTGCCCTTGCTGCCCAAAGTCATATCTTTAAAAGCTTATGTACTTATCTAGTAATTTGTAGGTCAAATACTTGGTACTTTGGCAAATAGTTTATTCAATACTCTGTAAAGTCCCGCTCAAAAAACCTCAGCAAGGTGCTGCATCCGCACTGTGGCCATGAGTAAAGACAACGCATTGCATTTCCAGGAAAGGAAGCAAACTGGAGCCGATTGCTGCTCTTTGAGGTACCCACAGTGGCATGTTGCTTGCAGAACTCAGTAGAAATAGACTCTGTAGACGTCTCCCAGGGCTAGGGGCTTGGTAGTCCTCTTCGGAGCAATGCTTCAGGGTTTTCACCTCTCCTACCGGTGGCCACCATACTTAGCCACCCAGTCCGTCCTCCCGTGCACCGAGGGTACAGGCTGTGTGCGGTTCACAATGCTGAGATTTTTTGCTGTGGGATTGTAAGTTCGTCCTGAAAACTGGCCTCGGCTAGGCTTTGCATTCCAGGTATATTCTGAAAGAAATCAGAATTTCATTCATTTGATTATCAAGTTCAAAATAAAACAATTCGTCTTCATTTTGTAGGGAAGTGTGGATTTATCTTTGAAAGCTGTAGAGAAAATGTGAAGGTTTGCATTTAGTTCAGGTTTCAGGTTCCGTGTCTTTTTTTTTTTTTTTTTTTTTTTTTTTTTTTGAGGCAAGCTCTTGCTATGTAGCACACACTGTAACTCACTTCATAGCCTAGGGCTAGGCTAGCCTCAGTCAAGGTTAGTTTGTCTTTACTCTCCCGGTACTGATTATAGGTGTTCACCATCGTGCCGGCTAAAGCAGAAACTCTAGTGGGGTATTACACAGATATTTACTAGAATTTTCTGTGGTGTAAGAGCTGGCATTTCTGATTTGTCATTCAGATGCTGCCACTCTTAGTTATCTAGCTAAATGGTAGTGAAATGACCAGGAGACATCCTTAGTGGTTCCTTAGTGGTTCACTCAGTGTGGTGACTAATCTCGCACTGTGGTTATATTCTAAATAAGTCAAACATGGTATCGATACTAAAGACATAACTTGGAACTGCGTGGAACTCAGGCTTCATAGAAGCTGTACATACGACGTTCTGTAGTCTTTTTTTGTTTTTGAGTGAAAATGTGCTGTTTAGAATTTAGATTTCTCTTAATTTTTTAAAGATACTACTATATAACTCTGGCTAGCCTGGAACTTGCTTTGTAGACTAGGCTGTCCTAGAGTGGCCAGAGATCTGCTGCCTCTACCTCCTGAGTCCTGGGATCAGAGGTGTGTGCTGTAACATCAGGCTCTACTTTTCCTTTCCTTTCCTTTTTGTTTTTTTTTTTTTAAATTATTACTTATTATGTATACAGTGTTCTGTTTGAATGCCTGGCTGCATGCCAGAAGAGGGCATTAGATCTCATAATAGATGGTTGTGACCCACCATCTGGTTGCTGGGAACTGAACTCAGGACTTCTGGAAGAACAGTCAATGCTCTTAACCTCTAAGCTGTATCCATCTCTTTAGTCACTCCTTTTTTTTTTCCCTTTTCTCTTCTTTTTTCTTTCCCTCTCCCTTCCCCTCCCTCCTCCTCTCCCCTCTCCCTCCCTTCCTTTCTTTTGTTCTTTTTTAAGCACTAGGAACAGAAGTCAGGTGTAATGCACCTAGATAGGCAAGAGCTCTACCAGCGAACCATGATCCAGCTTAATGAGCGTCATGTTTTTTTTTTTTTTTTTTTTTTTAATTGGTAAAACCATGGGTGATAACACAAACCCTCAAAGAGAAATCTTTTGTTTTTGTTTTATGTGTATGAGTGTTTTGTCTGTATATACGTATGTGTACCATGTGTGTACAATACCCAAAGAGGTCAGAAGAAGGCGTCAGAATCCATGGAACCTGAGTTACAGGCAGTTGTGAACAGCCATGTGAGTGATGGTTTTCTTGAGCTATATTCAAGAGCAACAAGTGCTCTTAGCCATCTCTCCAGCTCCAATCAGTAATTTTTAGAGGACCCCAAATCTTTAACCACAAGGTTTATTTTGCTTGTACATTTGACTGCATACTGATTTGTGAGAGAGGTGGGGTGAGTATCGGTGGGTTATTATCCTTCATTTGAGAGAGATTTAAACTTTGTTAAACATTTGATATCTGAACAAGCTGAAATTGTTTAAAAATCTCCAGACAAGTCATTATCCAGGGACCTAGAATGTCTTCTTCAGTTCCTCCTCACCCCACCCTGAGAGTGATGCTTCACGGGCGGTCTACACGAAGAGGGCACCAGCATTTGCACTGGGCTTTATCTTTTCACACTGTGCAGCTGCTGATGCTCTTGGAGTAAACTCAGCACGATGCTGAGATGCACCTGGCCATTCCACACCTTCCACAGCCATGATGTATTTGCTGGTCTGGCTGCCCAGCCTTTCTTAACCACACAAACCTGTGGTCTACAGGTGTCGACCTCTACCTCCATGAACAAAAAGCCCTAGATCATACTGGCATCCTGACTGCTATACATAGTGTTTGGGGTTGGGGTCGGGGCACGCTGTCGGTGGTCTGGAAGGTCACTTCATACTGCTCTTACTGGGCTCAAAGAGAATCAGCTGCCTAAACAAAAGTCAAGGCTATGTATCTAGAAGGGTCAGTGAAAATGACTATGTTTTCCAGAAATAGCTGTAACTGTTGGAATATGGAAATCTCATGCAGTGAGCTCACACTGCTGGCCTCAGGTCCAAACAGAGCCATGTGTGGAGTACAGAGCCTGTGAAGGGTTAGTGGGAGAGGAAGTTCAGAGAGGCTGAGGAAACACATTAATTGTTTAAGACTCTGGACACTATGAGTCACAGGCCCTTCCCAGAGGCCATGTAAGCAATAGACAGTTGAGGGGTGGGATGGGGGTGGGACTGGTCATGTAGCTAGCTGCCTACTAGTCGTGCAGGAAACCCAGTGATAACAGCTTTTGTGACTTGTCACCTAGGCTTGGGGTGGGCTTCTCAACAGTCCAGATGCCAGGGTTACCCCAATAAACTCCCCAAGCTCAACTTGGATAGAATCATTTCCTGGATCTGTGGCTTCCCTCTCTATCTGGGGAGAATGAAATAGACTCCTCAGGAAAACCATCCAGCCCTATGGTTTCTATACATAGGCCACACACCCTGGTCTTGTGACTGTCAAGGCAGGGGATGAGCAAATATTAGGGACTTTGAAAGAGGTTAAATGGGAGGGTGTGAAGGCATTAGTTTGATTTTTTTTTCTTTCAAAACTTGAGGGTAAGGGGGACAGAAAGGGAGTCTAGGAGAGGGGAGGGAACAGTCAAGTAAATACGGTAATGACCTGGTTGTGTTTCTGGTGGGACCCTGGAAGGCAATGTTTTCCTAATGGGTTGTATGCACCTATTGGGAGACAGCAATGTTTACTTTTTTTTTTTTTTTTTTTTGCCTCTCCTCCTACCATGGCCTGGAGGGAAATCTGATAAGCAGAGTAAAGGAAGAGATGGAGAGTTATGAGAGCAATTGACTTAAAAAAGTGGCAGCAGGAATATGCATGGTAATCTCACAGATTTAATACAGAAAAGCCTTAAGTAGTTTTATTTTTATTTTTTAATAAAAAAGACCCACTCTCGGTTTCTAAAAGTGAGTACCCAGATAGCAAAGTATGTCTAAACATCATGTTTTGCTTTTTATACTAAACATGGATGTTTAGTCATGGTTAGTGACTCATTGTAACACTGGCCTACAGCTTTTGAGGCTTCCTAAAATCCATGTTGTATATAATGTGCTTGCCTACACGGGTATATATTGTTTTAGAAGAAAGACATTGGCACACTCATCTTTTAAAAACTGATACAGCAAACGAACACCGTTTAAGCAGCCTACTGTGGGAACAGGTAAAAGTGACCCGTTGCCCCTGCTCTCTCCCTTTCCAGCTGTCTCAGATGTTTGTCCTGTAAAAGATGGGCATATCTAAGCAGTCATCTCAGTGTGAGGGCCTGGTGGGACAGTGGGGAGAGCGTTTTGGATTTATGAATAACAAGGACTCCTAAACCAAACTTACTGTTTACTTTAGGTGCGTCACTGAGGGTGTCTACTTTAAATTAAAACAATGTAGAGACTGCTATTCATCATGAAATCCAGGAGGCTCAGAACAACACTTCCAGTCTCTCTCCTCTGTCTTACTATCCAGCCCAGGCAGTCTAGGGCTTCTGACTCTCCTGCCTTAGCCTCCCATGTACTGGAATTTGAGGCAAATACCACTATGCCTGGCTTGTCACCTTTTATTTCAGCATGTGGTTTTCATGCCTTGTGCTGTTAGACCCCAATTAACCATGACCTCAGAGGTGGAGGGAACAACTGTCATGCCATCTGATACTGCTTCTTTTAACAAAGGTGTGGGGACCCCCAAGAGAGCACTGCTGGGTAACTCAGGAGCAAACCACATTTGCTAAGATTTTGCTTTATGCCGAGCACCAGGCAGAAAGCTCTGAGGAATGCATCTTCACGCATCTCACTAGAGTAAAGCAGCTCTAAGGAAGGGAGCAGCTAGTGTGTGTCTTTCCTGGCCACAGGCCTAGAAGGAAGGTCTCTCTTATAAGGCAAGCGCGAGCACTCGGCAGACGGTAACCACGCTGCTCACTCTAGAAAGCTCTTGATATCACTATGTGTACAAACGATATTTTTGTCACAGTCAGTCTCATGTCACTGAAGCAGCTGCTGCTGTGTCCTGCTGCTGTCCCATAGCCATGTCCCCAGGGCAGAGCTGGGCACTTCGGGCTCTTCTGCCTCACTAGCTGTTCCTCTGCTGCTGGGCTTCTGAGCCCTTCTCTTTCACTCTACCCCTCTCCTCACAGGGCTCTGTGCCTTCCTTTCTCAATATTGATGCTCCTTGGGGTCTATTCTGGGGCCAAGCACTAGGCAGAAAACACGGTGGGAGGGGGACAACTTAGACGTACTAATAACGTGAGACTAATTTAAACGTCTTCACTCAAGAAAACGGACCTCATGATCTTAGAAGGCAAGCCTCTTCTAGTACGAAATCTCAGACTGTAGCAGGAGATCGCTCTTACCCGAAGCCGTTGCACCAAGAGGTGCCAAGTGGATCCTCTGGCCAGCTGACCCCACTTCTTTCTTGAGAAAGGAAGGCATGTATCCTGTCTGGTTGTAAGTGGTGTAGCTTCCAAGGTTTCCTGCCGATGCATCAGGGGGTTTGGGTCAGAAGGAGGCTTTTAAGGTGCTGAAGAGTGAGTGACTTTGACTACTACCCTTCTTACTTGGAAATGCTGTTTTATGAGCTGCTGTACTCTAGGCACCACGCTATGCCTGTGGCAGAAACTCTCACTCAGTCCCTGGAACAGCTTGGGAGCACTATTTCAATACCCCTGTGGTTCTGGTAGTGAATGACTTGCCTGAGCTCCCACATTTAATAGAGAACCGAATCAGGATCTGAATCCTGAACACACTAGGCTTTTTGATGACATGGGTTCTGTGTGTGTGTGTGTGTGTGTGTGTGTGTGTGTGTGTGTGTGTTCCCATGTGTGTGAGCACTCTGCCCCAGGAATCCCCTGTGCCTTTTCTTTGTCTAGCTGCCAAAAGTGAACATATTTATAGGGTTTCGGGTTCTGAATATATAGGAAAGCTCTTTTATAGAATCAGGCAGCCAATAAATACTTGTCATTCAGTCTCACCATCATCTCTGTTAGCAAAGATCAGTCTGAAGGACAGGTTGATGGGGAAATCTAAAGGCAGAGCCCAGTTATGACGTCACTGCTATTTTGGAAATGTGAGAGCAGGTAGGAAGCAAGCGGTCCTATCTTGCTGGAGAAGAGAGTCTGGTGAGTTTACAGTGTGTGGGGGGAGCTGGGAGGAGGGGATAGAGCCTCTGTTTGTAGCCTAGGTGACTGGATGGCATGCATTAGAGAACAGCATGGGAGGAGAATCAGGTTTTGGGGAAGAGGTGTGGAGGAGAATACTCAGGTCAGGGTGGGGGAGTTGGCTTGGAGATGAGTGATGTCGAGAGGATGTGTCATCCTGTGACTGCTACGTAAGTAACTTTTAACACTAATGCATGTGTGCAAACACAGCAGCCTACACCTCACCAGCCTTCTCACTCCCAGTACTCACTGTGATTCACTAATCCATCTTGCTACTTCAAAAGGCTTGCCTGGTTCTCTGTAGCTGAGGATGACCTTGAACTTCTGATCCTCCTGAGTGCAGGCATTACATACAGGTGTGTGTCACCCACGCCTGGCTTATGAGGTGCTGGGACTTGAACCTGCAGCTTTCACGTATGTTAGGCAAGCCGAACTACATCCCCTATAGCCTCCAAAGACTTGGAAAGAAGTTCAAAGTCATGCTCCCATCCGGGGGTCACTTCGGAGTGTGTCCCTTGCTCACCCCCTCTTCACCATGGCAGATACAGTAACTACTGATGACATGAGCACCGGGCACAGCTATGAAATGACAGCTAAGTAAATAGCATCCCTTCCATCCTATAGATGGAGAAACTGGCTTAAATAACTAACTGAAAATAAGAATAGTAGCGATATGGGAACAAGGCAGATACTACAAGCCATGCACTAGGCAGCTATACACTGCTGTCTTATTGCCAAAAGACTTTACTAAGATAAAAGGACCTGACAATCAATTCTTAAATTATTTTTGGCTATTATATGAGGTGCCTGTTTGCCGCAGGGTTTTGTGTATGTTAGACTGGGAGGTTTTTAGGCTGGAAGCCACTCACTCACTGGCATTGTGGAAACCACTAATGTCAACTCCTTCCCCCAAAATCCACTGTGGCCATTAACATCGGCTTTCTTTGCAATGATTGTGAATGGGTAAGTAAGGAAGGTCAGGATTTTTTTTTCAAAATCCTAGGAGTATTGATCATAAAACAAACTATTCTTTCCTTTCAACAGAGTGGTTTTTGTGATTTTCACAACTTGCCATAACTAATTGATGGCATAATCAGAAAGGCAAGCATAGAGCACTTTGAAAGGAAGGTGCTCTGGAGGGCTCAGAAAAAGCTGCTCTTCCCATCAGCCCTGACCGGACCCTGGAGCAGGTCACCTTGGCCTTCCGTGAGAGGCTTGGGGCTGAGGCTGAGAGGAGAACCAATGAGTCAAAGCGATCAGCTCATTTACATACAGTGCCCAGGAATTAATTACCTTGTGGGTCCTCTAGCTTCTCAGCAGACTTTTCAGTGCATGACAGTTTTTCAATCGGTCTAATTATGCTTTCTTCTAAAAGAAGGTGGTTGAGAGAGAGCCGCAAGGAGGGTGTTACAGGAGAGCAGGGGAAATGGGTTAGATGGTTAGTGGAGAGATCCAGAAAGAGCTCTGCAATGAGAAATGTCTCCATGTGCTGTCACAGCTGCCCTGTGGTGCTGACTGTAAGTGATGACACTTAAAACTACGGCATCATCATTTGAATCAATCTGTATAACTTACAGACTCTGGGAATATTATTTTGAAATAGTTGAAAGAAAAGTGCCCCAGCCTTGTTAAATGGGCAAGCTGAGTTGTTGGAAGTCTATCTAAAGAATTTGTGAGATGTCTATAAACTAAAGTTACCCCCAAACTCAAAATTCAAACCCCACCTATGTCCAGGATTTTCCGAGGTGGGATGACTGGCCTGTGGAGAGTTAGAATGTTACAACCCAGAACCAATGATCTTTGTCTCTTTTTAGTTCATTTCCAAGACATTTACTGCCTACCCCTAACATCCTTTGAACATAACAAAACCTATAAAACACATTTTTACCAACCCAAAAGCTAAGTAAATGCCTTGAATTGTGAATTTCTCCAATAATTGATAAAATCTTATGTAATCACTTTTAGATTGGAACGTGTTACCCAGGACAACCTGAATTTGTTTTTCCTGTCATGGTTATTCCTGTGTGGCTCAAGAATGAACTTCCTCTTACTGCATTTGGAGTGACAGCTGAGTTTCATGGGAACAGGTCAAAGGCATTGATGTGACATCAAAGTTCTTCCTAGACACATGCTGTAACCACCATCATTAAACTCTTCTCACCGGCCGTGGTGGTTTGAATGTAATTGGTCCCCATTAGCTCATAGGGAATGGTGATAGGGGGATGCCCTTCTGTATGCTATGAATATATGTTTCTCTTATTGGTTGATGAATAAAGCTGTTTCAGCCAGTGGACAGGCTGGATTTAGCCAAATGGGAAATACGAACAGGGATAAAGAAAGGTAATAGGCAGAGTCAGAGAGACACCATGTAGTTACCAGGTAAGATGCCTGGATATTCTCTGGTAAGATAAGGCCATGTGAAGATACACAGATTAATAGTTATGGGTTAATAATTAAGAAAGAGCTAACCAGAAAGAAGCCTAAGCCAATGGCCAATTATAAATAGATATTAAGTCTTAGAGTGTTTATTTCATAGCGGCTTTGGGGACCGATTGGGTGGAGAGAGACCGGTCCAGTGGGACTGAGACTAGATGGAGAAAAATCTCCCAACAGAGTGGCACTATTATGAGGTGTGGCTTTGTTGGAGTAGGTGTGGCCTTTTTGGAAGAAGTGTGTCACTGTGAGTGCAGCTTTCAGGTCTCTGATGCTCAAGCTACTCCCAGTATCACAGTCCACTCCCTGTTGCCTGCTTATCAAGATGCAGTCAGCACCGTGTTGGCCTGTACACTGCCATGCTCCCTGCTGTGAAGATAATGGACTGAACTTCTGAAGACGTAAACCACCCAACTAAATGTTTTCCTTTATAAGAGTTGCTGTGGTAATGGCGTCTCTTCACGGCAGTAGAAACCCTAGCTGAGACATCAGTACTACTCTCATTCCTAAGAACTCAGCACTTCACACACTCTTCAGTTGATATCTAAATCATCATTTATCTAAATCATGATATCTAAAAAACCAATTTTATCTCTCTTTTAAATGAAGTCTAAATGCTATAATAAATAACAGTCTGTCAGCACTGATGGAAAAGCACACGAAGTGCTGGCACCTTTTCACGGCTGAACATTTCACATTCATCCCTTACTTCTGAATCCTACTTTAGCTTCTGGATTTATCCAAATAGAATTTTTGGCTTAAAAGTATAAACCCATCACTCAAAAGTTGTGTGTGTGTGACAGTTTTGTAGCCATAGTAAATACATTTGCCCATATTGTTAAATTATAACGATTCATTGAATATAACTAGTTAAAGAGATAATATTATAAATTTTGATTACTAGGCACGGAAGGAAGGTAAGTATTGTTGGGAGCACAGTTTAATGAGGTGTGCTCTTTCCAGTGGCCTATGTCCCTGCGAGTGAGTGTTTGTTAGAGGAGCGGGCGAGGGCTCAGCCATAGCTCTCTTCTTGTCTTGATTTTCGCTTTTGCAGACAGAAGCCTGGGGAAACCTTGTTGATGCGAATACGCTGCTGAGAGTCGCTTTGTTACTATTCTCCATACTCCAGATATATGGACCATAACTATGTAATGATCTGTGACAATGGCTTTTAATTCATTGTCAGGAAGCAGTTCAGTGAGGTCCTCTTTTCATTTTCTAAATGTTAAAAACCAGAAACCCCTTGACTTTGGGAGATGAAGTAATGTAGTCTTTGTGGCTACCTCTGGGTAGCCCAGGATGGCCTCAAACTCTGGATCTTCCCAGCAGTCACCCAACTTTCATAAGGACTGACTCCCCGTTCATGAAGGTTACCTCCTTTTTCAACATATCTAACTGTTCATTTGACTGGCACCTTGGACAATTTTATTCAGGTTAGCCAGTGAGAAGTCTTTTCCATTTGTCTAGTGGTAGAACTAAAGGGTGTCTGCTAAGAAGGCAGAGTCATTTTTTGAAGGACCCTGGATGAGGGTTGATGGACAGAAAACTATCTGTGTTCAAGAATTATTTGGAAACTTTTGCATACTGGCTTCTCCCCTAGGGTCACACAGATCTCCACATGTCAATGATAACCATGATGTATTTACAACCAAACACTGGACATTGATGGGTGGCATGTATCCGTTACCTGCGTTATTCCTCTTGAAAGCAAGTTCCGCCCCCATGGATCCCAACGACTTAGGAAATAGTTGATTACTCCAAGCGTGTGGGTTTATATCCTTGCCACTGGCTACCAAAGACACGTTCTTGGGATTCACACCTAAGAAAAACACAGCGGTCATTTTCAGGGTTAGAGGGTGAATGTAAACTCAAAGGAAGATGTATGTTTAATCATAGATTAAACCCTCCTGGGGACAGGAGGCTAGGGATAAAGGTTGGTTAAGGCACAGCCAATGTTTGCACCTTTCAGTGAACTCTATCGTGTTCCTGAGCCCTCAGCACAAACCTGGAATACTGACAGCACACACTTCACCACCTGTAATATAAATAGCAATAAATACTTGACACTCCCGTGAAATACCCCATAAAAAAACAAGGAGGAAAATTTTGCTGCAAAACCATGATGGTTCCCTGTCCCTCGATTACTTCACACGCATACTTGGGCCAGACCCTCAGGGAACAGTCAGCATTGCAGGGAAGAAAGATGTGACCAGGGACTCAGGGAAACCCAAGAAGTTCTTACTACAGGACATAGCAAATACCTTTAGCTCATCACCTGAGGCTGAAAAGGTACAGAGGGTGCACTTGGGAAGAGGATTTTTTTTTTTTCATTTTTGGTCTTTTGAGACAGTGTTTCTCTGCATAGCCCTGGCTGTCCCAGGACTCGATCAATAGACCAGGCTGGCCTCGAACTCACAGAGATCCACCTGCCTCTGCCCTCCAAGTGCTGGGAGTAAAGGTGTGCGCCACCACCAACCAGCTGAGGAGGATGGTTTTTATTTTGTTTTTCTGAACTCTGACATGTCAGTTCCGTCTTGGGCCTTGTGTGGTCAAAGGGAGCCTTTGCAACTTGTTTATAAAAGGTCTGAACATGTCCTGAGTTTGATGGCTTTTGAGTGATGATCACTCAGCTGAACCGGGATGCTGTTACAGTCTGAGCCTGTGGGTTACATGCTGGCTGGCCATGTTACCAGCTAATGCTGATGTCGTCACTGATGCAGGTAGATCTGTTCCCTGGTAGGCCGAGCTTCCCGGCTCCCATGCTATCTTCCTTAGGAAGACTTCACGTGTATGAGACATAAATAGTGTTTCTTTTGAAACCAGAACTGCGGAGCTAGTTATCTGAGGAAGCACCAGTTGAATAAATAGCTTCTCTATCTTACAGGAGGGGTCAGTGGCAAGGGAAGGTTAGGAAGGAGCAAGTCTGAGCAAGGTCAGCCTTGGACATGTATGAAAATGTCATAACTAAACCCATATCATTTTTATACCAACTTTAAAATTGAGATTAAAAAGGAAGATGCAAAAGGATACAACTTCTTGAGTTAAAAAGTTTACTCAACCAGGTGGGGCGGTGGTGCTCACCTTTAATCCTAGCACTTGGGAGGCAGAGGTTGGCGGATCTCAGAGAGTTCCAGGCCAGCCTGGTCTATGAAGAGAGTTCTGGGACAGCCAGGGCTGTTACACAGAGAAACCCTGTCTCGAAAAACCAAACCAAACCAAAGCAAAAACAAAAACAAAAAAAAACCCAAAAACCAAAACAAAGAAAAAATTTTCTATTTATATATTTAGATGTTTGTGTATTCCAATATTAAAATCATTTAAACAAAAAATGGCACTCTGATTAAACTGCATTTTACAGCCTGGAGGATGCTTTGAACCATCTAGAATTTTACTCTAGATTTCAGAAAAAAAAAGCCAACAGGTTTGTTTTTCTTTTCCTTTTATTTTTGGTATTATAAATATAATTACATCATTTCCCCATCCCCTTGCCTCTCTCCAAATCCTCCAATATTCCCTTCAGTACTCTTTCAAATTCAAGGCCTCTTTTTTTCATTAATTGTTATATGCATTTATGTACATGTATGTGCGTGTTTCTAAATATAACCAGCTCAGTCTGTATAATGTTATTTGTATGTTTTCAGGGCTGACCATTTGGCTTTGCATAACCAATTGGTGTGCTCTTCCCTGGAGAGGACAATTTCTTCTACTCTCACCATTCCTTAGTTTCCTGTAGGCCATTGGTTGAGGCCTCATGGTCTTCTCCTTGCCTCCTACCCACTTCTGGCAAGTCTATTGTCCTTGTTCAGTGCATGGTTAGGCTGTCATGCTGGTGAGACTTTATGGGTGTAGATTCTGACATTCCTAAGATACACAATCGCAAAGCAAGCTCCCTGATTCTCCGGCTCTTACAGTCTTTCCACCCCCTCCTTCCACAGTATTCCCTGTGCTTTAGGTGTGGGAGTTATGTTGTAGGTGTATCCATTGGGACTGGGCTCCACATTTCTGCATTTTGATTGGTTGTGGTTTTCTGTAGTGGTCTCTGTTGCCAAGAGGTTTCCTTGATGAGGGGTGAGGACTATACTTATCTGTAGGTATAAAGGCAAATATGTAGAGTGTAATTAGATATCATGCTGGTTTAAGAAAGTGGTGGTTTTATGTTTTCCTCCTTGACTTTAGTATCCCAAGGCAGGTATTTCTCTTAAAGTGAATGCATCCACTAGCAAAGATAACTGTTTTAATTCAAGTTCTTAAGATAAATATTCTAATTTTGTTGGAAACAGATACAGACTAGAATTGTAAATTATGAGTGGATGAGCCGTTGATTGGGTATCTATGGACCAACTAGGAAGAGGCAGAAATACAGTTGGATATGCTAACAACACAATACATCATTTCAAGGATATTTTATGAAGTCAGTTAGTGGGGCTGAAGAGATGGCTCAGAGGTTAAGAGCAGTGGCTGCTTTTCTAGAGGTCCTGAGTTCAATTCCCAGCAACCACATGGTGGCTGACAACCATCTGTAGTGAGATATGGCACCCTCTTCTGGCCTGCATGCATACATGCAGGCAGGACATTGTATACATAATAAACAAATAAATCTTTTTTTTAAAAAAAAAAAAAAAGTCAATTAGCAAATATTGGCTGAGTACATACGATTTGCCAAGCCTCGGACAAGGCAAAAGTGGTGAGCATGACAGACCAGTTTCATTGGCTTGTACAGTCCAATAAGGAGGGTGACACTAATTATCAATGGATAATTAGTAGTGCCAAACTGCTTAGAAAAATATGGTCTCAAGAAGGTCAATAACAGAAGCAATCGAGTTTTTCCTTTAAAAAACAGCAATGTTGGGCCAGCAGGATGGCTCAGCGGGTAAAGCCGGGAGAGCAGAAGTTGATCTAGCTGGTTCTCCTGGTAGGAGAGAACCCACAAGGCATCCCCTGACACACACATCCACACCCTAAAAATCACACTAATAGTGAGAAATTTTAAGCTAAACCAAATCCCAACAGGTTTGCTGGTGTGCTCCCGAGTGAGAGATCTAGGAGAGAGCTAAGGGATGCACAGTACCGAGACAGCAAGGACAGAGTGGTGGAGAGGGGAGCAGGGAGCCCGTTCTGTGGCCTCGTGTTAAAATGGATCAAGAGGGGCTAACACAGGGATTTCAAAGGGCACAGGACTAACAGCTCCTAGGGCGGATGGTGAGCGATCAGTGGGAGAGAGAAGGTTTCACAGAACCGGATTTCAGAAGTGCTATGGAATGAGTCGGTCCAGTGTCCGGCAGTGGGGACACTGGCTCCCAAAGGGAGTCTTAGTTTTAGGATGAGGCCCGAGGGCACCGCTGAGAGACCGAAAGTGTTAGTGTTGTCACTAAATACTGTTTCTGCAGTCACCTCTTATAATGAAGTGCCTAAGGCTTACGGGGTGAGAGGGGAGGTGACTTCTGTCCCATGGTGGGCAATGCATACAGACCCTCACTCCAAGTGTACATGCTGATCTGTAGCAGGTCACACACCTACAACACTTGTGTCTCTTTCCCCCCAAGGCCAGTGCTACAGATCTAGCAGTCCTCTTACAAGGTTAGGCTTTCATGCAACCATGTGGTACAACTGACCTATAATCCTGAGGGTTGATCTAAACCAGTGGTTTTCAATGCTTCGACCCTTTAATACAGTTCCTCATGTTGTGCTGACCCCCAACCATAAAATTATTCCATTGCTACTTCATAACTGTAATTTTGCTGCTGTTCTGAATTATAATGTAAATATCTGATATGTGACCCCAAAGGGGTAGAGATCACAATGAGAACCGCTGATCTAAGACTTTTCATGGCTTTAGAGTTAACAAGTAGGTCCTTAATGTATTATTCTTTCTTAGTTCTAAAAATATTAATTTATAAAAGTAATTATGGAAGTCAGGCAAAGTGGCATACACCTTTAATCCCAGCACACAGGAGGCAGAGACAAGTGGATCTCTGAGTTGGAGGCCAGCCTGGTCTATAGAGTGAGTTTCAGAACAGGACTACACAGAGAAACACTGTCTCAAAAAACAAAACAAACAAACAAAAAACTGTGAGTCAAAGTAAGCACCAACTGGACTCTCTCTTCTATTCATTGTCTGTTAATTCAGAGTTGCTGGTTCATAACAGATGTTTGTCCAAATGCCTGAACCTAACGCAGTCTCATCCAGCTGAGGGAAGACCTCAGGACAGAGACCAGCCTTCTCTAGGCTCAGATTTAGTTATAAACAATTTTGTCATTGAGTCCAGTTTTCAGGTCTCCTTTATAGCCATACTTGTGGAATCTGTTAGGTCTTATTTCTCAAAAAGGATTTCTCTGTGTAGTCTTGGCTGTCCTGGTACTCACTCTGTAGACCAGGTTGGCCTCAAACTCACAGAGATCTGCCTGTCTCTGCCTTCCGAGTGCTGCGGTTAAAGGTGCGTGCCACCACTGCCTGGCTTTGACCTATATAATCTTAAAAGCCATATTGGGAAGGGGAGCATGAGAACGAGGATGAGTTAGGCTCCTGACTGTTTTGCCAGTAACTTACGGTAGGTTATTCCAATCATGAGACTTCAGTCATTGAAATGTCCCGTATATCTTTTTTCTTCTTTCTTTCTTTCTTTCTTTCTTTCTTTCTTTCTTTCTTTCTTTCTTTCTTTCTTTCTTTTGGTTTTTCAAGACAGAGTTTCACTGTGTAGCTCTGGCTGTCCAGGAACTCGCCCACCTGCTTTTACCTCCCAAATGCTGGGGTTAAAGGCATGTGACAGCACCGCCCTACTTTATATTTTTTCCAATAGGGAGTATCCCCCGTGTGTCTATTCTGGAGTGCCTGTTGCCGCCATGCTTTGCTGTCAGCTTGGAACGCTCATGGTTTCAGCCCCAAGCTTTACAAATCGGCTAGTACCTGAGGATTCCAGCTGCTGTGCTCCTCGCTAAGGCAACAAACCTCAAGGCCTGCTCTTCACTCCAAAGGACTTCAGCCTCCCACTCATCCCCTCCTCTCTTGAATCATCCGTTTCTTGTGTTCCGTACCTTGACCCAGGCTTACCTATGTGCAAGACCCCCATGTGTGCTCACCCCCACGTCTACATTGTACCCACTTCTATCTCTGCTGCCTGTTAGTATTCAGGCATCTTTACTGGCCTTCTCTTGGGGTTCTGACAGGATACGCCCTCAGCTGCAGTCACTAAGGGCACCACCTGTGCACATTCACTACGTTTCCTTTTAAAAGGGCCCTGCCCACCTCCCATCTTTCTCTCTCTCTCTGTCTGTCCCCCCCTCTGTTTCTCTGCCTGTCTCTCTGTCTCCCCTGCTCTTTTTCTCTTCTGCTGTTCCTGTCCACAGAGACTGCTCTCCCCGCTTCCCTCCTTCCTTTTCCCATTCCCTTTCCCCTAATAAAAAGCCCCTCCATGTGAGCTCTGCCGCATGGCATCTTTCTCTCTGGCACAGCTTTTTAAATTACAACAGCCTCTACTGTGGACACAGCAAAACCATCTTGACAGCCACTTCAGCCATATGAGCCTCTAGCCTGCTCTTCCCAGCAGCCAGAAGAGGCATGTAAACACATACCGCACATAGTTTAGGAAACCATGCTTTTTAAATTTATGTTTTGTAAAAACTTGTGATTGAGGGTGCCCAATTGCTCTAATAAAATTGAACAAATACTAAATAAATGAACAGCTTTGGGGAAGCAGAGGCATCATTTGGTGTTCTGCATTTTCTTTCCTTCCTTCCTTCCTTCCTTCCTTCCTTCGTTTCTTTCTTTCTGTCTTTCTTTCTGTCTGTCTGTCTGTCTTTCTTTTTTTAATGGTGCTGAGGATAGAAGCTGGGCTTGTGCATGTTAGGTGAGTGTACTGCCACTGAGCTATTTCCCAGTTCTCTGCTCTGTATTTCTTGAACAGACTTAATTCATTAGTTGCCGACACAGGAAGCTCATGGCAACAGGCATAGCTGCTAAAGAGTCCTGGAACTCTTCTTTCTCCTTCTCTGGGGCCTTCTTTTCATAGATACCAAGGCACTTTATCCTACCAAGACTCTGATTAACATTAAACATTTTTGTTGTTTTGAACCACGGTATCAGACAGTTCTTGTTAGCCTGGAATCCCTAATCATGGGTATATATATATATATGTATATATATATATATATGTATATATTTAAATCGTAAATATGAAGTGGTAAATTTTCTCTACTTACCTGGAAGGTATCTTGATTGTTTCAAATAGTACTGCTTAGCTGTTGAGGCAGTTGTCACGTTTGTATCGGACTTTAAGGAAACAGCCCCATGTAAACTTCTGTTTTCCCCCTTGGAAAGGGTGGAGCCTGGGGATTCAGTCTCTGGAAACCTTGAGAATCAACACAAGGCACCAGTCACAGCTTGAAAACCAGTAGTCAGTCCTCCCCCATCTCCTTCAGTGACTGAAATGAACTGATGCAAAACCACCGGACCTTTTGCAGTCAAGATTGCTAAGTGATAACTCCCTCCGTATCTCTGCCAGCAAAGGGGCCATTTCTGACATTGGACAAGATGTGGCAGAATCTTTATAGCAGTTTATGGGTATGTAATCCAGTTTGCCTCTTCTGGAATTGCTGTAGTCATGGATTCAGAATGTTGGAAGACCACACAACAACCATGACCATCTCTGCCTGCTACTAAAGTCATTTCTATCTAGCAAGCTTGTTTCAGGCCGGAGTCTAGCCAGTCACTCTGGGGGAGCTCTAGACACAGGTATCACTGTTTTATTGGGGATGGGTCGCCATTTCTGGCTTCTTTCCCTCTTATTTCACTGTAGTTTTGCTACTTATGGAAGTTCTACTCATGCTTTGTCCTCCACCCACCTCTTCCAGGGGACTGAACTCAGGCTCTTGTACACACAAAGCAAACATTCTACACTGAGCGACACCCCCAGCCCCTTTCCTCATTTGGAGACAAGATGCCCCTAAGATGCCCCAGGTTGGCCCTGAACTTGTGGTCCTTATCCTCTGGAGTAGCAGGAATTACAGGGTGTGCTACATGGAGACTCTCTCTCTCTTTCCCTCTCCCTCTCCCTCTCTCCCTCTCTCTCTCTCTCTCTCTCTCTCTCTCTCTCTCTCTCTCTCTCTCTCTCTCTCCTCTCTGTGTGTGTGTTGTTATTTTAAGAAGTGGCTTTTGAACCATGTAGGCAAGTGGCCTTGAAGTTCTGATCCCTGATCCCCTTGTCCCACATCCCAAGTGCTGGTATATGTCATGTTTTTGTTTGTTTTTTAATTGTTATTATTTTGGCCTGTTTTTATGGATGTGTTTTTGTTGTTTTGTTTCTTTTTTGAGACCAGGTATCAACTGTATAATCTAAGCTGGCCTTGAACTTTTGTATCTCTCTTCCTCAGACTCCAGAGGAGCTGGGAAGACAGATGTCAGCAAAATGCCCTACAGGTTTTCTCCTTGGAAGAAGGATGTCTATACAGAGTCCCAGCAGAGCCTGTGGAGCCTGTGGAGCTGCCTATGCCGGGCTTCTCAGTTCTCAGAATTGTATTCAAGGACCACACAAAACCTTCGGTGGCAGAGTAGTGTGACTCCTGCCTAATTGGATTGAATGGGGGCTCTTCCCAAGTTCAAGGGCTGTAGGGAAGAAAATGTGTGAATCTAGACTAGGAGCCAGAGTGATCCAGGCATGTGCACCCTTGACAGTCGTTATGTGTCTTGGGAGGAGTGACACACCACGTGTGCTCTTGACAGGTTTTTTATGTGTCATCAGAGGTACACAAGCTGCAAAGTGAAGATGCCTACACTACACAATACTAGCGTTCCCCTGGATTGTGACATGGCTGTCCTTACTCTGTTTCTGTTCCAAGGAGAAAATAAAAGGAAAGTATGTTCCCAAGATGTTCACCAAAATTTAGCCTACCGTAACCAGAGCCGAGTAGCACACAGATAACCTAACTCCTGCAGACAAGTACCTGCTGGGTACTGAACTTCCAGGAGAGGTCCAGAAAATGATTTTCAAATGTTTTAACAGGAAGCAATCTAATAAATAACCCTTAACATCATCAGAGGGAACCATTAACTATTTATGTGGTGCACTGCATTCTGCACACAGAAATGGGAACTTTAGAACTTTAGGTGGGAATAAAGACGTTCACAATTCACTAGAGTGATCTGGGTGTGACTGGCTTGTACCTGTGGTCCGAGCTACTCGGAGGATAGGGTGGGAGGACTACTGCAGTCTACAAGTTTGAGATCTGCCTGGGCAACACAGCTAGACTCTGTCTCACAAACAAAACAACAAAAACCAACCAAATAAACAAACAAAACCCCACATGCACAATATAAAGGCTGAATTAGAACTTTGCCCTACACACCGCTCACTATACTGTGAAAAGTCAAGATTCTCACCTTTCTGGAGGTATGAACAAAGATTTCTGGGATTTGTAGAAGAAAGTATTAATCTTTGTGGTCACTTTTAATGGGTGAAATAAAGTTGACGTGTGGTAAAATACATTTCCTCTCGAATGTGCAATCTTACCGAAACGGAGGCTCTCTCTTCTTCTTTTCCTTGAAGGCACTCATGCTCGGCTTCTTGGAATGGGAGGCTCCGGAGTCACAGTCCTCAAAGTTGTCACAGCTGTCTCCAGACTTGAAGACCGTCTGACCCCAGCGTCTCCGAGCTCCTTTGTGGCTCATCGTGTTGACTGGCTTCTGTGGTGAAAAAGAATCAGCCACCAACGTCCTAAATTATCTAAGATTTGCACAAGCAATTAGACAGCGAGTGTCTTAATCCCTTCACAATTAGGTGTCATTTAATGAAAGGACATGTTCTGAGGAGCGCATCCACAGGTATCTGTCATCACGAGACATCACAGAATGTAAATACAGTACTCACCTCGGCAGCATATACTAAAATTGGAATAATACAGAGGTTAGCATGGCCCCTGTGCAAGGATGACATGCCAATTTGTGAAGTGTTCCATATTTTTAAGATTGTATCATACTGACAAGTAAAACTCACCATCACTGGGTACCAGAGGTCTGAGGTTCTGGGTTGACCCTTCACAGATGGAAAAAGAATCTAGAAAACCGAGACTCAGCTGTGAGCCTTCCTGCCCTTCTCAGTAAGTGGAAATAGCCTTATGGAGTACACTGAGGTTGTCATGTCCCTTTGTCTTTCAGCAATGACCTCACATCTAGGGCCTCTGAGATGGCTGGGGTGGGCTGGAATGTAAAGTCACTTGTTGAAAATTCTGACAATCCAGGTTCCACTCTAGGGACTGCAGGATGGAAAGAAAGAACAGATTTCCGTGGGAAGCCCTGGAAACTCCACATGAGTGCCCCTCCCCGAGAAATACATACATGTATTAACATTTTAACATTTAAAGTCTAATTGTCTTTGAATAGTGTTCCTATTAACAGAAATAAGGAAGGAGGAGGAAGCTGTGGCTTAGGACAGACAGGAAGCTGGTTTCCTATAAGCCGATAAGAAAGTGCTGTGTGGCATATGAACCAGAACACACAGAAGCAGTTCAAAACAAGGAATGAGCATGGAAGAAAGGCTGGCTGCGCCGTGGGCATGAGGATGCTGAAAGAAAGGCTCACAAGTGCCCAGAGCTGGTGACATCTGGATGGGCAATGGCAGGTAAGGATGCCTGCCAACCTCTGCATCACCATTTACTTTGCCAGGAATAACACTTTCCAAAACAAACAGAATTAAAAGATCCAAAGCTCTGGATGCACAGAGTCAACACAGCTGAGTGTGGACCGCCCTCAGCTGAACTACCTTTTCACATGAAGCTAAATACTGATCCCTGCAGAGCCACGTCAGTAAATACAGAGTGACCCTGAATGCTTGGGAAGACTGGAAGGGGGCAGATACAAGTAATCCCTTTAAAATCGAGAAAGTGAAAATTTGCAATCCATGTCAATACTTAGTTACAGAATGAGGGCAAAAATTCTAGGAAACTGGTGGGTCATATAAGCCACCATTTGTCATAGAGCTGTTACTTTATCTGATGTGGTAGGAAGAAAATGTGAGCACCAGTCAAACTGGTGTCACGAGTTGTCACCATCCCCTCAACAGTGAAACTATCAGAGGCCAGTGAATGTGGATCAGGACACAGTTTGATAATTTAATGAGTGGTCAGCAGTTTGATACCAACCTAGATAGAAGGTGCTAGCTGCTGCACAAGAGCATCTTGCTTTTCTGTTCATCATGAAGATATACAAGAGAAGAAACAGACAGCTAAATAAATCCACAGATGTCGGGATGGTTAAACCCGGGAGAGAAAAATCAACATACAAGAATAAGAAGTTTGGGAGGTAACTGAGCTATTAAACTCTTTGAACCCTAGAGATGGAATATGCAAGCTGTAGTGCAGAATATATGATCTGCAGAAACATTTAGTAATGAAACAGACCCTAAAAATGTTCATGGATAGAACATTCCATCCCAGTTCTGGAATATGTTAGATATATAAGGATAAAGGGCTAGTTATTAGGTCATGTAACTTGGTGAATACACCCAGGGATACGCTGAACACAGTGTCCAGTTCTTAGAAACTGCTCAATAAACACAAACTTCCTTTTCTTTCCTCTCAGGGTGCACCAGCATCCGATGGCTTCTGAAGCAGGGTAGAGAAAATCCAACCCTCGGGGTCCTAAGTGGCCCTTCAGTTTTGGAAGGTTGGAAGTCATGCCTCCTGCTTTACCCTCCCTGGTATGTCTGCCTGCCTCTAACTCAGGCAGCGTCATTGTGAGTGGCCAGCAGAATGAGGAGGTGACTTGAAGACCCGTGAACAAGAGTCACGAGGGAGTTGGGGATGTTTCACCCAAAAGGCAGATGGCACAAGGGCTGTTTTCAAATACCTGCAAGGCTGCCTTCCTGGAAGAAGGATACCTTCTATCGCATGCCACAGAGAGCCACAGCCCCCCTTCTGTACCATGCTCTCCCTCCTATTACACACCACAGAGAACCACAGTCTCTAACATCCAGAGCTGGATGGAGACTCTTCTGGACCCTGGAGGATGTTTATTTATTCAGCAAATAGTTATTAAAAATCCTCCCCGTGGTGAGCACCTTCTAGGCGCTGGAGTTATACTGATGAACAAACCAGACATATTTCTGATGTTACAGAGCTTGCACTCCAGTAAAAGGGGAAAATGCTATACAATACTAGAAACAGAAATTAGCAGTATGTTAGGAAGGGTTTGGAATTAGTGGGAGATGGGAGGGCTCTTACAAAGGATCTGGGGATGGACCAGGAATTAGATACAATGTTTGAAAAGATAAACATGCAGGCACAGACTGCGAAGATTGTATTTATGTATTTGGGAACACACACACACACACACACACACACACACACACACACACACACACACACACACACACA